CCTTGACTGTGCTGGAGCCCAGTGTCCCCACGGGGGACCAGTGGCCACCGGGCCACCCCACGTGTGTCCCCCCACCACGCCAGAAGCCCCCTGCTGCCATGCTCATGCCCCCCTCGAGACCCCCAGCCCAGCGCTGCAGCCACTGCAGGGGACACGGGACACTGCCAGGTGTCCCCAAGGCCACCCCTCCCCACCATTAAAGCTGCGGGGGGCGATGCCAGCCTGGGGGGGTCCCCGGCGTCCTCGGTGTGACGGCACGGGTGGCACCCGGGGCTGTCCCCTCACCTGGGTGTCGGCAGGCAGCCGGGGCATGGAGGCGGCGCGGCCGTGCCCCTCCATGGGCAAGTAGTCACTGTCCGAGTGGCCATCCTTGGGCATCTCCCGCATCTCCACCAGCTGCGGCACCGGGGAAACTGAGGCACGCCCGGGGGGGCGGGCAGGGGACATGGGGGAGGTGTGGCCCGGGGTGGCACCGCCGCTCACCTGGGAGTTGGGGCGGCTGTTGGGGACATCGTCGGGGTGTCCCCGCTCGGGGCTCCAGGTGCCGGTCCTCTGGAACATCTCCTGGGCGCGCTGCGTGACCCAGGACTGGCTCTCCTTCATGTCCCCGTCCCGCGCGGCCCTGGGGGACAGCGGCGCTCAGAGCCCTGCTGGGACACCGGGGACTCCGGGGACACCGGGGGGGCACTTACGGCTCCGCCGTGGGCGCCGCGTCCGGTCCCGGGGGCCCCTCCTGGGTGGGGGACGGTGGCTCCATGCGCTGGAACATCAGCGGCGTCCGGTTCTGTGGGGACACGGGAGGCTGGACACGGGACATGGGGACACCGGGACACCAAGAGGGGACACCGGGATGGCAGAGGAGGGGACAGGGCCGAGCTGGGAGCTGCGGGGCGGTGGTGGGGACACCGTGGGGTGACAGGGAGGGGACCACGGGGGACAGTGGCGGTGTCCCACCTGCTCCTCGCGCATGGCCTGCAGCTTCTTGGCCTTGCTCTGCCGGTAATACTCCATGATCATCATGGCCGCGTAGATCTTCCCCACCGTCAGGTCGGTGGCTGCGGGGACACGGGTCAGCGGGGACAGCGTGGGGACAGCGGGGACACTGGGGACAGGGCGGCCCCTTACACTTGTGTGGGGTGACGAGCAGGTCCAGGTTTTTGGGGGACAGGTTGGGCCAGATGGCGATCATCTCCTTGCGCAGCTCCGCGTCCATCTGCTGCTTGTCCGCCCCACCTGCGGGGACACGCGGGTGACACGCGGGTGACACGGGTGGCTCTGCGCGGGACACCCCGGCCTCGCCAGCCCCGTGGGGACCCGTGTCCCCACGCACACCCCCTCCATGTCCCCCATGTCCCCACGTCCCCTTGTCTGCTGTGTCCCTTTTGTCCATGTGTCCTCCCGTACCCCCTCGTGTCCCCAATGTCCCCCCGTGTCCCCAATGTCCC